AGTTTATATATATAAAAATAATTTTTTAATTATATTATTAAGCGGGCGGGGGCGGGGTGGGTATGGGGGCGGGGGCGGGGTGGGTATTAACATCCTCGTCCCTGCCCCCGCTCCCGATTTTATCAATCGGAAAAACCTGAACCCGAACCCGATAAACACGGGTTTTCCTCATCCAAATCGAGACGGGTTCGGACGGGAGCGAGTTAGATTGCCATGCCTACTATCGGGTATCGGATATACCCATACTCGTAAAAAATTAATTAATCTTTTTTACAAAAAAAAATACACAATATTTTTAGCTTATCTTTTCATTATATTACAATTATAATTGGGTTGTTTGTCTATCTCATTTTAATTAAGAGACTTCTTAATAATTAAACAACTACAAATGTTTCACATCATATAAATAATCACACAAATTAAATATTAAAATTCTTCAAAACAAACAAATTGGGAATGAATATATTAAATCAGGGATGGGGATGGGGACATAGATGGAGACGGGATAGGAACGAGGCAGGTAAGTATATACTCGTCCCCATTCTTAGTTTAATATTTTGGATTTTACCCGTATCCGTACATAATCAAACTAGATATTTTCCGTCAAAATTGGGATAGTTTAGGTATCTTAACGGACAATAGTGGAGAGGACATTGAAGCATGTTATATATAACATGTATTCAAGAATACCACCCGTGAATTATGCATCAACGTTTCATGTAATTATGTACTAGTTTTGTTATTTCTATAAAAAATTTCCACTACTAAAAAAGTCTTATTTTTTTTCAAATTTTTTTAAAAAAATTATTTGCAGACTTTTTTTTTGTTAAATTTTCTTATAATAATAATTTTATAAAAAATATCTACAAATTTATTTCTGAAAAATAATTTTCAGAAATTTCTTACAAATTTTTTATGAAAAATAATCTACAATTTTATTTTATTTTTTTTGCAAATTTTAAGAATTTTATCTTGCAGAAAATAATTTTCAGAAATTTCTTACAATTTTGTTTTTTGCAAATTTTAAGAATTTCTAAAAATTTACAGAAAATATTGTAAGAATTTTATCTTGTTTCTTGCAAATTTTCTTGTAAAAATAAATTCGCAAATACTGTTTATTAAATGGTAGAAAAATTTCGCAAGTAACTTTTTGATGGAGTTATTTTTATGGTATTTGTCTAAGAGGATATTTTATGAATTATTTTTATAAGGTTATTATACAAACATACTCCACAATGATGAGATATTGTCCGTTTTGGGCCTTAGCCCTCACGGTTTTGCTTTTGATCATCATCCAAAAGGCCTCTCAATTATTGAAGTATGTTTGTATTATATAAGTTGTTATTTGTTGTGTTATTTTATCGATGTGAGACTTGTTTGTATCCCAACAATCCTCCTCTCAAACAAGGGTTATTGGTTGTCACTGAATCCAACCTGCGGCTCTGATACTACTGATGGGGTTATTTTTATGGTATTTGTCTGAGAGGATATTTATGAATTATTTTTATAAGGTTATTACACAAACATACTCCACAATGATGAGATATTGTCCGCTTTGGGCCTTAACCCTCACAGTTTTGCTTTTGGTCATCACCCAAAAGGTCTCTCAAGGGACCTCATTGAAGTATGTTTGTATTATATATAAGTTGTTATTTGTTGTGTTATTTTATCAATGTGGGACTTGTTTGTATCTCAACACTTTTCTTACAAATTTTCCTGTCAATTATAATCCGCAGAAAAAATAAATAAATATATATTTGTAATTTTAAAGATTAAAAGATTTTCCTTAAGTCCCACATCGATTATAAATAAAACAATTAAGGAGTATATAAGTTAGGGCAACACTCACCTTACAAGTTGATTTTGTATGGTTGAGTTTAGACCTATGATTTACAATCTAAGAATTTAAAATGTTATCTATCACATGTTAGAGGCTTGGAAACAAATTTCTTAATGCTTTAGATGAGTTCACTGTAAGCATTTGAAAATTAAAGAATTAATTTCTTTGATTTTTTTCGTAAGAAATTTTCCTTTAGAATTTCTTGCAAAAAAATTCGCAGGAAATTTCGTAGGAAACTTTCATGTGAATTTTTTTCGTAGGAAACTTTCCTGCGAATTTTTTTCACAGAAAACTTTCTTGTAAATTTTAAAATTTGCAAAAAATATTATCTACGAAGGTATTATTACCTAGAGATAAAATTTTGCAGAAAAATTTGTAAGAATAACATTTCCTGCAAATTTTTATGCAAAATTCACATAAAAAGTCATATGTAATAAAATAAATTCTAGTAGTGTTCACTCTCTAAATTTATAATTTGAACTCAATTTTTACACGATTTATTGAGATGATCCATACAAATGAGAATCAAGATATGAAAGTAAACTACTTTCATTCTATATAATTTATATGAAGGCCAAATCGTTGTTGACAAACAAATTTTTGCTAAAAAAAATAATGAATCATATCATATCTAACAACTATAGATATAAATTACAATATATTTATATGACAATATATTATTATTTAATATTTTAATCATTATAATTAATTATAATTGAATAATATTTTAATTATTATTTAATACTAATCCAATTATGATTAAAATAATTTAACATTTTTCACCCATTTAAATGAAACGAACAAAACAAGTGGTCCATTAAGGGAGAGACAACTTTTTTTTAACCATGTTACAAAAATAGTCTCAAACCTAAAATTACGTATCATTTCAACCCTTATTACTAGATCGATCCTAATATCTCTAAAGACTATAAACTCCTTCCAGAGACTGATCATTAACATTTTGCACCCTTTGCAACATTACAAATAAAATCACCAACTAAAACTAATGGACTCAAAATGTAGATTTTTGGCTAAAGCAGACGAGCAAATGGATGCAACTTCTTGTCTCATTATTTTGGGTCCTGAAGCAAGAACTCCCACACTTGACCCTTTGTGTTCAAATAGCATTCCTGTAAAAACGGAAAAAAAGAATCAAGTGATTTCAATCCATTGATAAGTCTTTAAGCCATAATAATTAAAGAAATTGGAGGTAGCTTACTTCTTAGGTTAGGTCTTACACCATAATGAACATTGGTAACATGAATAAGGGACTGGTATGGAAGGCTTTCCAATTCTCTATCTGCGTTGTACACCATGGAGTTGGGTGACACTGTTGGTGTTGAACCTTCCAAGTTTTGAATCTGATTTATTTCTTTAGCATTATGTTTCTTGTTCCAAAGAAAAGTTGCACTAGCAACACTTACTATGGAAACACATATTACTAGCATGTTAAGGAATGCATTTAAAGGGAATGAGAATATTTGATTCGAGTTATGATCAATAGGGAAAATGTAGTAACGGGTAATGATCCCTATTAAGATAAGGAAAATGATGAAAGAGGATGAGATTATTGCACCAAGCCAGAGCCAACTGTTTGGACCTAATATAGCATGTATTGGTGCATTAGATAGATTTGGCTTGAACCATATGGTTTTAGGTTGAATTGGGCCATCTTCTTTAAACTCCTTGTCTCTTGTGATGTAGGCCTCAATTTGTAATTCCATATCAGAAATCCCAGATGGGTTGCCAGATATTGGGAGGATCAAATCTAGCATTGACAAAGATGAAGAATTCTTGAATGCACAAATTAGAACAACTTTTGGGGTTTTGCACTTGAATGTAGTCTTCATATATACTAGCTCTCGAATTATGGAGATAAAAGGTGTGATGCCACTTCCTCCACTCACCATCACAAGACTCTCATGCCTGGTAAAAAGGAGAAAACAAAAGTTATTACTATGTGTAATAATGCATAAGGTTTCAAGTTGTGTTTTGCTTATAAGATGCAAAACCTTAGATAATTGGTTAAGGCAGGCCCATAAGGGCCTTCAACAGATACAACAAGGTGATCTATTGTGGAAGAAGTTGAAATCAACTGATAGAGCTTCCTGGTCCAACTTCCTTCACTTTTAATAACAACACTTAGCTTATCTCGCTCCAAATTACTATTAGAAGTAATAGTAAATGGATGCCACTGCAACTTGGATATGCTCGGTACATTTATGAACATGACACTTGTGGAGTTGTAAGTTAATCCTGCAAAAAACATGCAATATTAGCTCTTTAAAAGTCCCGATAAAAAGTCATTTCTCAAGCTAGTGAGAAGTTATTACATGGTTCAGGATCACCATGATTCAATTCCAACTATTTTTAACATGACACGTAATTGAATATTATTATGTTTCAAAAATCGAAAAACTTTACTACGTGTCATGTTGAGATTGATCAAGATCATGGGTATCTCGTACTTCTGTACCATTTAATAATTTCTTAGAACAGCCATGTTTATTACCATGGCCCTTGGAGAAGTTGAGTTCTACAACTTCACATGGCAAAACCCGAGCAGAAACCAAGCGAACTTGTTGCCTTGATTGTAGAAACCTTAAGTAACGATCAACCAAGAAGAGATAGAAACCAGGGAGCATAATAAAAGCATAGGAAATGCCAACATGAAAGATGAAGAAGACTATGAAGAGGATGTAGAAGTGATGAGTGTAAAAGAAGAGCTCAAAGAATTTTCGCCTGATACGGGGAATGGTTGCAATCCATAGGAACAAACCGAAAAGCAAAGATATCTCTCCAGCCACATTTGATATATCATTTTTGTTCCATTCCAGTACCTGCAATGAACCAGCCATAACCCCATGAGATTAATACATGAAATACTATAAACAAACAATAACATAAAATTGCGTTCAAAGACTTGCTCAATAATAACACAGTAACAATTTGTTGCTTTGGGCTCTAAAATGTCTCATTTTTTCAATCCATAAAAGTCGAACATGTAGGTTTACAACTACATTTAAGTATTTAACCACTTGGGCTTGACCTTTAGTTCTAAAATATTCTATGTAACTCTTCTAGTATTGATTACTATCACATAAATTTGTATAGGCCTTTTTTGTTATCAACTATCAATAAAACTTTTTTATAATTATAAATCCACAAAATCGTATAAATAGGATTCATGTAGTAAAGAAATAATTTCACAAAAAAAAATCCCCTTTAGGGTGGTGCCCAATTTGCTATCAAACAGGTCAGAAATGAATCAAGGTCAATAAGCATATATAAGCCCAAGAAAATAAATATCATGTGACAATATCCCACCTCATAAGGTATCATTCGTACGTGGATTAATTCAATCAACTCTAAATAAAAGTTTACATGCCCTGAAGGCAACCCCAAAGTACTAAATGACAGCGACCAGACCAGAAAGATGGGGAACAGTTATAGAGCATGCCGCAAAGCCAAGTAGTGACACAAGTCAAACTTATGATTAACAACCCAACCCAATAAAATAAACTATAATGCCTACCATACTAAATTAATTATAGTGAATAGAAGTAGATTTGATCTTTAGTAGAAATGGACAAAAATTTAATTGCAGAAAGCTAAATTTGTTGGTATAGTAGAAAGTTAAATTTGTTGGTAATAGCAATTTCTAGTTAAGATTGAAGTTTTTCCTCATGGATTAATGCTGATTTTCTATATTGGCCTTTATATGTATAGATTATCGATGTGAAAACTTAAAAGGAAATTTTTAAATTTTCTTTCACGGTTTTCCTCTTCAATTGAAATTTCAAAATTTTCTTTAGTTTATTTTTTATTTCCTTTCGTCGAAAGAAATGAGCAAGAACCGGTCTTAAAATAAATTAAATCCCATTAAAAAGGAACAATTTGAAAAACTATAATTAAAAATGGGCAATAAGGTCTGTACCTAATTTTATTCAAAACTATAGACACAAGTTTATAGAAAATAAAAACAAGTGAAAGTACAAATAGTTTATCTCTTTAAAGTTAAATGATTGTTAGAATGGACTTGGGTAAGTATGTTGTTACTTCTTAGCCCTCTTCTCTCTTCATCTAATTCTCTTTTGACTAAAAACATTTTATATATATAAAGGAGGGATCTTTTTACATTAGGAATAAGTCTACCTAGACTTATTCCGTTCAATAACTCATGTTCTACATCAAATTTCAACGATCCAACCGTTCAATTTAAAGTTCTTAATGCATAGATTAAATCTGAAAAAAATTTAGAAAATTTGAAAATCATTTGATACTTCATTTTACTAATTCAAATTGAGGGATAATCATAAAATCATTTTATACATTGATTTGAATTAATAAAACAAAGTATAAAATAATTTTCAAATTTTTTTAAAATTTACAGATTTGATCTATATATTAAGAACTTTAAATTGAAATGTTGGATCGTTGAACTTTGATATAAAACATGAGTTATTGAATAGAGTAAGTTTAGGAAGACTTACTCCTGGAGTAAAAGGATCCCTCCTCATATATATATATATATATATATATATATATGAGGATTCAAACGACACTAGTGTAACTTTTACTAAGTGTTACACTGTCCAATAACTTTATATTTAATGTGAATTTTAAAAATCCAATCGTTAGATTGAAAGTTCATATTTCTTAAATCATATATATCAAATTTTATATTAATCTAAGATGATTTGATACTTCATTCTCATAAAATAAAATTGACGTAATATATACATTTCAAAATATACTAAAATATGAACATTTTGATTACCTTCACGTTGTTGTTCAATTTTAACAAAATTTGGCATATATGATCTAAAAGATATGAACTTTCAATCTAACGGTTGATTTTTCAAAATTCACATTTAATATAAAGTTATTGAGCGGTGTAACACTTAGTAAAAGTTACACCGATATCGTTTGGACCCTCCTCTCTCTCTCTCTCTCTCTATATATATATCGGTAACCCAATATATATATGTTTAATTTATCATTTAATACGCATGTGATAAGCAAGATAATATATATTTTACCATTCAACCCTTACATGTAAGTGTAGGAATCTTAATCCTAACTCACCCGAGAAATTTGATCGGTAACTGCCCAATATATGATGTAGCAAATGCCATGAGAAGTGAAGAGAATCATGGCCATGTGTCCAAGCCAAATATGGTACTTTATGCTATTCTCCGAGGTCAGGCCAAGCAGAGGCAACAAACATGAGCCACGAGCCACCGGAAAAAACAGAAATGCCAAGCATATGTTCCCAACCACACCCAACCTTAGTGCTGCACTCTCTAGTTTCTCTTCCCATCTGCACAACCAACATATAACAATCAACAATAAATCCATCAAACAAAATATTTTTTTTTCTATATATAATAATAATTAACTATACTTTCTAATAAATACCATTTTATACATTCTTTACTATTGATTATAAAATCACGAGTGAAACTCATTAAATATAGAACAAGATTCATGAAATTTTATATTTTTTAATAATTTTTAGTTAATTGAAAAAGATTGATGTAAGTATTAGTTAGAAAGTATATTAATAATATTTTTCCATTAATAATAATAATAATAATAATAATAATAATAAACTTTACACTTTCTCGCCATCTTTTGCTGCCAACTTTGGGGTAATTGTTGCGAAGTTGTTGTATATAGAAGTTGTATAGCTCCAAATAAGGAGTGCAATAAACATGAGGAAGAATGCTAGCTCTGTGCCAGAAACAATGCCAAGAGGGCCTTTTATGAGCACTGGACGCTTCCATATGATTACCTTATGTTGTTTCTTTGCATTGCAGCTGATGATGTAGAAGACATACATAGGATAAGTCAATTATCAGAACTGTAATTCTTTTCAGATTCAGAGTATGTTTCAATACAAACATAAATGTTCTATAGATAATTCCTCTACTGAAAATAAAGCTTATTAGCAGAGAGAAATGGCACCTTTCCTTGTTGGAATCATTTACTTTTTTGGCTATGTGGAGGTAGACACATCCCAAAGTAGCTACCAATAAGACTGGGAAAGTGTACATCAGAAGATTAGCACCTGCAATAAGAAGATCATGCATAGGGGTATACATTAGCATAAAATGATTAAGAAAATGCAAGGAGTGAAATTCATAATTGAATAAAAATTATAAGACCTTTTGCACCAAAATAGGTTGAGTTATTAGTCTTTGCTCTGAATCGAGGCAGCCATCTTTTTCTGTAAGTATTTGTGGGCATCATTATCCAAATCAGAATCCAACCCAGGAACAATACCAGCACAAATAGCCTTATTGCAAATTGAACCCTTTTCGCCACCGTTTCTTGACCCATATTGTAACAAATTTGTATGGAGAAAAGAAAATAGTGCAGTGAGGAGAATCAGAGTGGACACCTATTTATAGTTCAAGAAATGGAATTATTGTGACTGTACAATTGTACTTAAAAAAATGATTAAGCATGGAACACCAGAAAGATAAAAACAAGATTGCATGTTTCACGTCCCTCTGCTACTGCTAGGAATGTAGAAATTAGTATTATTTGTGCATCATTGTTTGTGGGCCCAAATTCTGTGAGTTGACATGAATTGAAGGTCAACAACCATTTCAGTGTTGTGTGGCTAATGCCCAACGAAAGAATCAAAGGAAGCAAAACAAAATAAAAGCTTTGATTTATGCTTGTATCATAGTATGCTTGGCTTTTTTTTTCATAAATATTTTTAAGTGAAAAAGATACAGAAAAAATGAAATTAATTTTTCTAAAAGTTAAAGTTAGTTTATGCAATAAGTTAATTTATAGAAGTATTTTCTTATTAATTTTTATTCAAAATTTTATTTTTAACTTACACATAAAATTAATTTTAATTTTTCATTCAGATTTTTCTTATTACTACGTTTTTCTCTCCATGAAGAACTTCTTAGTTTTATTTTGGAGAAGTTTGTCTCCCCCAGGCCCCAAGTGACTAAAGCAAGTAATTTTTTTTTATTTTTACATTACATGGAATAAAAAATATTTTTAAATTTAGATTACAAATAAAAAAAAACTTATCCTAAATTTAAAAAACAAATTATATTTTAATCTTTATATTTTTATTTGTAGTTGATTCGTATATTGAATTTGGAAGAGACATTTATAAGTAACTATAGAACCTTTAGTAGATAATGGATTTTTTTTAATTACTTTTTCATCAAAATAATTATATTAGTTTAATATACATATATATATATATATACTTATTTTATACTTGTATAGTTGGTTTCTTTTTTATTATACATGTTATGTATATTGTTTATCTTGTTAGAAGTAAATGTATGACCTTTAATATGTTAGTAGCTAGTTTTATTGTTATTTGAGAATTTCACAAAATGTAGTGATCATGATATGTAGTTACAAAAAATATTTTTTAAAATAATATATATCATTAAAAAATACTTTCTAAAAATATATTTTAACAAGAGAATACGATAGTACCTTAAAAATTAAGAAGAAAGAATTTAAAAATTTACAAACTTATTAAAAATGATTGAAATAATAGAGTTTAAAAACCATGAAGTTGAGCGTCGTCCAAAATATAATTTGCTAAAAATTTTGATGTTTGTCGAAAATCAAATATTAATCGAATAAGATCCATACCCGTTTCAACTCACGTGAAAGCAGTCCAAGAAGAAAATATATTTGGTGCATGGTGTTAAATTCATCCGGTCTTCTGTTGGTGGTGTTAAATTCCTCTTTCAAACCATACTCGTTTCTCAACCATGTAGGCTTGTGCTGAAGAGTGAAGAGTGAAGCCTCTCCAGATATTATTATTAACATTTTTATTTTTATAATATATAATATTTCTTTTAATCAATTCCCGTCTCTACAAAATAATTAAATGTCATTGGCTACATGTAACCTGCAAAGGTTATTTCCATAACATACCTTTTATAAGTAATGTAGCCTCTCCTATACTAATGACATTATTTGTTTATACAGTATATTATTACATTATAAGTATAGATCAATAATTTTTATGTCAATAATGTAAATTTTTATATTTAAATAAATACTATACAAATGAAGTAGGAAACTTTAGAATTACTCTGAGAAATTGGAAAAAACACTCATTTTGAAACAAGTTTTATCGAAGTCAAAATTTTCTCCTTCCAAGAAAATCCATTTTAATGGTAATAAAAATATATAATTTAATATTAATTATATATTACTAACATTTTCTTTTAAGTTTTAAAAGACATTTTCTAAAAATATAAACAGATTCATAGCACATATATGAATCATTTTTTAAAAATTTTAATGAGCAACTAAAAATAATTTAATGTGCATTTAGAAACTAATATTTAATCATATCCATAGTAGTTTCATTAGATATTATTAAATTAAAATAATTGATAATTAGTAAATTATTAATATTTGCCAAAGACAATTTTATAAACAAAATGATTTTGAACATAGATATAACATTATTGGTCAGGAATTTTCAATTGGTGTTCAAGATATGTTAAGTAACTTTGTAACATAAGTGAAGAGTTACTAATAAGCCACCAATAAAATTGCATAACTCATGTTGATGGTAAGAAATAAAAATAAAAAGGAAATAAATGAATAATAATGACAAAAATGAAGTGAAATATGAAAGAAGAAAAAAATAAAAAAAGGTTTATGCATAACAATTGCATAATAATAACATCATAACTTTTCAAGTGACATCTTTGTTGCTTAACAATTTGCACTTGCTAAAAGTCTGCCTCACAAATAATGCCTCTAATCTTAATCTTATACTCAAAAGGTTACGTATGGTTGAAGCCATGAACCATGCCTGTGTTGAAAAATTCTGATTCTAATTATATATTCATTTCTGCTTTAACAATTATATAGTATTTTGCTGACTTCACCTCCATTCCAAGAATTAATTGTGCGTGCGTCTCGTCTCATTCTGCAAAATAACCTTCTCATTCCAATTTCTTAAAGCTTGAATTTCTTATCCTAAACAGCTCCAGAGGTTGCAGGAGCTTCCATAAGCATGCGAGGATTGGATGCAAGCAATTGCTTTTCTCCGAAAACTTCTGAATTCAATCCTTCTAAGATGATTATCATTTGATTCAGCTCCATGAATTTACATCTCATGGAGCCATATTACCCTAACATACATGAGTCGTTTCTTTAAGAAAATATTTTCTATCTTTGCTTTTTATTTTTATTTTCTGAAAAGGTTAAAATATTATTTTTAATGTTATAGTTTCATTTAATTTATCTTTTGATCTTTATATTTTAAAATAATTTTTTTAGTTTTTATATATATTTATATTCTTCTATCCTTTTTATCCTTAAATTATCTTTAATTTTCATATTTGTAATTTTTTTAATTTTTTAGTCCCGGTTATTAATTTTTTTGGACACATATATTAATTCAACTTGGGTGTATACTGTCAAATTTTTTTAATTAAAATTACTCTAAATTAGATTTTCCTAGACTTTGTGTCTTTTTTTAACCTTATTTGTGACATTAATTATTAAAAAAATATTTTTTTATCTTCATAAAATTAAAGACCTATACAACGTCAATATATAAACATATAATATTAAAAATAAATTAATAATAGAGATTAAAAAATTAAAAAATTACAAGTATATGAATTAAAAATAGTTATTTTAAAAACTATAAGGGTTGAAAAAGATAAATATAAGACTAAAAGGGTCTAATTGAAAAAAAGTATTTCAACCTTCAAAATAATTTTCATTTTCAAATCTTAGAAACGTTTTTTTTTTTTTTAAAAAAAAAACTTTTTTTCTGTTTTCAAAAAACGAGAAAACTAAAAATGTTTAGTTTAACTATTTATGAAAAACATTAAATGTTTTTGTTATATGTTTACAAACAATTTTTAATAATAAATATTATAAGTTTATTGATAGACGTTAATAGTACAAATAGCATATCAAAGTGAGAAGGATGTCATTAATTATGAGATATTAAGTAATAACCTTTGAACCTGTAAAAAAAAGTAATAATTTTTTAATTAAAAATAATGGTTGTAATTAATTTCAAGTATAAATATCTTTATTATGAAACTATTATTATCGGGTAAAATACATTTTTATTTCTCTAAAATTTTTCAAGTTTGACTATTGTGCTTTTTAATTTTTTATATCCTAATTTAGTCCTTCTAATTTAAAAACAAATTTGTAGTTTAAATGACATTTTATAACCGGTTTTACATGTTATGTAAAAGTACTTGAATAACTAAAGTGGTGATTTTTAAAATAAAGGGACTAAAATAGGACCAAAAAATTTAGAGAGACTAAATCAAATTTTGATAATGTCATAAAGATTAAAAACATATTATATCTTTATAATTATTATCTCCACAATTATCACTAAAGTAGTGATTGTGGTGATTGTGGTGTTCTACTAAAACTAAAGTAGTGATTGTGGTGACAATAATACAACAAAAGTATTGATTGTGGTGTTCTACTAAAACTATAATCATCATCATCATTGTTATGAGATAACAATGATGTTGGTGATGTTGATAATAATAACAATAACGATGGTGATAGAGGTGGTGGTAATAATGTTGTAACAGCCCGATTTTCACAGATTGTACAAGGGTCCAAAGCTCAATAAGGGTAATTTAGTAGTCCAGAATGGACCGTTTCCAAATTGAAACGAGTCGTTCCAAACTACTAAAACAAGGGTGATTTAACAGCCCAGAACGGGCCGTTCCCAAACTGGAACGGGTCGTTCCAAAATACTAAAATTGCCTACAAATCTTAGATGGGAACGGGGCGTTCTTAAATTGGAACAGGGCATTTCAAAAGACCAAAAATGCCTATAACCCTAGTTGGAAACGGGTCGTTCCAAATATGGACATTATGGGTTAAATGCAACCCTAGAACGGATCGTTCTAGTTTGAAAACAGACCGTTCTGGATGTGAATTTTTCACATGCCTTCAGAGTCTAGAATGGTCCGTTCCGGATTTGAAATAGGTCATTCCAGCAACGCTTGATGCCTATAAATAAAGAGCTCTAGCACTCCCAAAAAGCACACCTTTCAGTTCTAACTTCTTTCAGTTTTGACTCCTTTCTTCTACATTGTCTTCTTTTCCTTCTACACTCTCTGAAGACCGAGGGGCACTCAGAGGAGGAGAGCAAGGAGATCTCTATTTTAGTTTCAGTTACTGTTTATCTAGGTACGGGGAAAAGGGAATTATTTGTGTACAGAGTTACATGAGGAAATTGAGTAGAGGAAAAGTCCCTTAAGATTATGAGTAATTTTATAATTATTTATGTTTGAGGAATTGATGATCCCATTAGATTATGTATGTGTTGAGAATTAGAAATATATATTTAATTTATAAGAATGATGATCTGGGAGAGAGAACGAAATTGTAGAAAAGTGTCAGTAAGTTAGGTTTTGGAAAAATTAGATTATTTCTGTTTGAGGAATTGATGATCCCATTAGATTTTGTATATGTTGAGGATTAGAAATATATATTTAATTTGTAAGAATGATGATCTGGGAGAGAGAACGAAATTATAGAAAAGTGCATGTGAGTTAGGTTTTGGAAAATTTGGGGGTTTTATTATTTGAGTTAAGATTCTACTAAATTGATGATTCTATCTGGTTTTTAATTAATTTATAAATATTATTGTTGGTAAAATTGATGATCTAGACATGAAATGTGGTGTGCTGCCTTTGTACTAATATATACATTATATCTACCGTTCTAATATTGAATTGATAACATGGTGTGAGTATGAAATGAGATATTGATGTGATATGATTGTGGTTCCTCACACTAATGACCAGATATGAGACGACCCCTAGGTAAGTGATGCTACAGGGAGGGCGTGCCCCTGACATGGTGTGAGATGAGTGAGACAATTAACCCATATCACTTATGTTAGTTGTGGCGTGGCCTTGACATAATGTTAATTGTAAGATTTGTGTGAATTGTGATGGATTCATGTAATTGTGAATTGAGAGGTGAAGATGATGAATGATTGATAAATTATGATATATATATATATATATATATATATATATATGCTTGTGAATATTTCATTAAGTAATGAGTAATGATGAGATTATGTTTTCCTTATGTGCTTTACATATAGATTTTTTTTTTCTCATCGTACAATTTGTGGATGTTTTAGGTGAGGAAGATCTGGTTTTGAGTGACATCTAGAATGCCAACAGTTGATTTATGAGTATGCTCTAATATTGTGACATCGGGGCATAGGATTTCTAGGACATGAATTGTATTTGTATATGGAGTTGAACTTATTATTTTGAAAACATTTTGTAACCTCTTATGTTTTATTTTCCAAGTTTCATTTTCAAAATATTTTGGATATTGAAGAATGTTTCTAAAGGTTTTTATGTGAACCCTTTTATCTATGTTAAAAATTTTATTTCCTTATTTTATTTACATTATTACAATATATGTGTTGGGATAGTAAGAGTGTCACAAATGTTGTCATCATTATCGCACTATCATTATTACTAGTAAAAAAATGATGAAATAAAAATATACGTAAAATAAAGAAAAAAATTATTTTATAATTATGATTTATACCACTGTGTTTTTATTTTATTAAAAAAATATTGAAACGACTTTTTTTTTTTTAATTTTAGCCTTCATTTTAAGAATGTTTTCATTAAAATGTTTCTAAAACCTAAACAAGCAAATTTTTTCTCACTATTTTCCATTTTTACTAAAAATGAAAACAACAAAATGAACATACCAAGCAACTCTTTTTATTCTCTATTTGTCCTTTGATAAATTCTGAGACATAATTTATGAAGGTGGTGACCGCAGTGAAATTGAATTTGCTTTGAAAATTTATTGTTGTCGTTCATTGGAAATATTGAGATCTAGGTGTCGTTTGGTACGTAAGCATCGAAGATATTTATGGAAATAATTTCTAGGATTTATCATAATACGATAGTAGGTGTGTTACTTCTTCTAGTGAAGAGCTCCATTTATCAATGAGGTGGTGTGACTTATGCTGCAACTTTTCATGTAACTATGTGTGTGTCTTATTTATATAGAAATTTCTCACTCTCCATATTTGTAGTTTGAACTCAACTTTTGCATGTTTTTGTTGAGATGATCCATACTAACGAAAAAGATATTGAAGTAAACTTCTTTTAACTATTTATATGAAGGCTTAATTATTGTTGTCAAACAAAATATCATTCATTTTAAGTAAAAGGAACAAAATTAGAGGTCCATCAAAGCTGACTCAACTTAAACTACTACCTTCTTCCAAAGGTCTATCTTTAACATTTTGCACCTTTACAACAGTAAGAGTAAAATCACCAACTAAAGCTAATGGACTCAAAATGTAAATTTTCAGCTAAACTAGACGAGCAAATGGTTGCAACCTCCTGCCTCATTATTTTGGGTCCTGAAGCTAGAACTCCAACACTTGAACCTTTGTGTTCCAATAGTATTCCTATAAAAAGGAGAAAGAACTTAGAGATTTCAATCTATTGATATGCATTTAAGCCATAATTAAAGAAATTGGAAACTTACTTCTTAGGTCAGGTCTTACACCATAATGCACATTAGTAGCATGAATGAGGGATTGATATGGAAAGCTTTCCAATTCTCTATCTTCATTGTATACCGTGGAGTTTGGTGATGTTGTTGGTGTTGAGCCTTCCAAATTCTGAATCTGTTTTGCTTCTTTAGCATTATTTTTCTTATTATGAAGAAATCCAACACTAGCAACACTTACTATTGACACACATATTACTAACATGTTAAGGAATGCATTCAAAGAGGATGAGAATATTTGATTTGTGTTATGATCAATAGGGAAAATGTAGTAACGGGTAATGATCCCTATTAAGATAAGGAAAATGATGAAAGAGGATGAGATTATAGCAGCAAGCCAGAGCCAACTGTTTGGACCTAATATAGCTTGTATTGGTGCATTAGATGGATTTGGCTTCAACCATATGGTTTTAGGGTGAATTGGACCATTTGCTTTAAGCTCCTTGTCTCTTGTGATGTAGGCCTCGATTTGTAGTTCCATAGTAGAAATGTCAGAAGGGTTGTCAGATATTGGGAGGATCAAATCTAGCATTGAAAGAGATGACGAAATTTTGAAGGCACAAATTAGAACAACTTTTGGAGTTTTGTATTTGAATGTAGTGTTGAGATATATTAGCTCCCGAATGATGGAGATAAAAGGTGTGATACCACTTCCTCCACTCACCATCACAAGCGTGTCATGCCTGATAAAAAGGGAAAAAAAAAAACAAAAGTTAATACTATATGTAATAAAGCATAAGATTTGAGGTTGTGTTTGGCTTATAAGATACAAACCTTAGATAATTTGTTGAAACAGGTCCATAAGGACCTTCAACAGAAACAACAAGGTGATCGACTGTTGAAGGAGGTGAAAGCAGCTGATAGAGCTTCTTGGTCCAAGTTCCTTCACTTTTAATAACAACACTTAGCTTGTCTCGCTCCAAATTACTATTAGAAGTAATAGTAAATGGATGCCACTGTAGCTTAGATATGCTTGGTACATTTACGAACATCACACTTGTGGGGTTGTAAGTTAATCCTGTCAAAAAAATGTCGCATTGGTTCTTATAAAAGTCTCAATAAAATATAGTCATTTCTCAAGAAGTAACCAGAGGTAGCCATAAGATACTAGGAATAACTCCCAAAAAAATTACTAAGCTAGGATAATGTGAAATTATTACATGGCTCAGAACCAACATGATGTCAACTGGTCTCCACATCGACACATAATTGATTGTTATTATTTTTTTATTCGGTAAATTAAAAATTGCATTATGTATCATGTTGAGATTACTTGACATCATAGACATTCAGTGGTCGAGGACTGCATAATAATTTGTTTTGGATAGCCATGTTAATTACCATATCCCTTGGAGAAGTTGAGTTCTACGGCTTCACACGGCAAAACCCGAGCAGAAACCAAACGAACTTGGCGCCTTGACTGTAGAAACCTTAAGCAACGATCAACCAAGAAGAGGTAGAAACCAGGGAGGATAAAGAAGATACCAGACACGCCAACATGAAAGCCGAAGAAGACCATGAAGAGAATGTAAAGATGATGAGAGTAAAAGAAGAGCTCAAAGCATTTTCGCCTAACGCAAGGAATGGTTGCAATCCATAGGAACAAACCCGAAAGCAAAGCTATCTCTCCAGCCACAATTGATATACCAGTATTGTTCCATTCCAGCATCTGCAATCGTACCCCATGAGCTTAATATATACAATACTATAAACCAACAGTCATATAAAATCGCATTCAGAGGACTTGCTCAAAAAATAACGCAGTGACAGGTTTGTTGCTTTGGTCTCTAAAATGTTGTACTGCAACTGTTCTAGGATTAATTATTATCAGAAAAACGGGGAATCTTAATGTTAACTAACCGATGAAATTTTATGAATAGCTGCCCAAACGATGATGTAGCAAATGCCGTGAAAAGTGAAGAGTAGCATGGTCATGTGTCCAATCCAAACATGGTACTTAATGCTATTCTCTGAGGTGAGGCCAAGCAGTGGCAGCATGCATGAGCCACGAGCCACGGGAAAAAACAGAAATGCCAAGCATATGTTCCCAACCACACCAAATATTGATGCTGCCGTAGATAGTTTCTCTTCCCAACTGCACCACCATTATATAATTTTCAATAAAATTCGGTTAATGATGAAAAATGTAGTGAAAAGAGTGTGTTAGAGGGTGCATGGCTAGTATATTTTTCTAATGATAATGATAATTAATAATAAACTTACATAGTGCAGCCATCCTCTGCTGCTGATTCTGCAGTGATTCCTGCAAAGCTTATTTGTATAGAAATTATAAAGGTCCAAACTAGGAGTGCAATGAACATAAGCAAGAATACTAGCTCTGTGGCGGAAACAATCCCCAGAGGGCCTTTTGTAAGCATTGGACGCTTCCATATGGTTGACTCACGTTTCTTTGCATTGCGGTTACTGATATACAAAACAAACATGGGATGATAAGCCAACTATCATAACTATAGAATTCTTTTCAGGTTTGATAAAAAAAACTCGGAACTTGATTAAATACAAGTTAGAAAAAAGCTTTTGAAAGTTTTTCTTATAAAAATAAAGAGTATGTTTTAATAGAAAAATTTTCAAAAACACTTCTAAACTTGTATTCAAACTGATTCTTAGTTCTCACTCTCTTGACAACATTTTTCTAGAGTCATTCGATGAAAATTCTACATTTTAATTTCTACAAAATGTTTATATATATTGTCCATGTTATTTATCAAAATTATGATGATGAGAGAGCTTCTTTTATCTACAATTACTGAAATTACATGATATCAAATAGGTTAAAATATTTTTTTTCTTCTAAAATTTCATTTCCTTTACCTTTTAAGTTTAACAGTTTAAAATAGATTTTTTTTAGTCTTTATTCTTATTTTTTCAGTCTTTTTTAGTTTCTAAAGTTTAAAATAAATTTTTTTAAATCTTATACTTACAATTTTTAATATTTTTAATTTCTATCTTTATTTTTTTAATTTTATCCATTTTTGTTGACATGGTTGAAGTCTTTAATTTTGTGAGATAAAAAAAAGTATTCAACAAAATGTCTCAAATAAGGGAACAATCTCCAATTTTGTGAGGTAAAAAAAAAAAAAGACATCTAATAAATAGACGTCACAAATAAAGATATAAAAGAGACACAAAAAATTGAAAGATCTAATTTAGTAATTCTAACGATATAAATTCGATATAAGACATATAGAATTAAATTAATACATTTTTATACAACACAAAAGATATAATATTATAAAAAAAAATTAACAATAAAGATTAAAAAAATTAAAAAAATTACGAGTATAAAAGATAAAAAAATCTATATCAAACTATAATAATTAAAAAGATTGAAAAGGATAACTATAAGAAAAAAAAATCTATTTTAAATTATAAACGTTAAAAGATGAAGTAATCGAAAATATAAAGATTAAAAAAAACATTTTAAATTATCAAATAAGAGCAAAATTTAAATGCCATTATTTTTAAGTATTTTTATATCGACCATATGTCGCACCTCGGTAGTAATCTCAAACCAATTAACATTTAATACAATTTTTTATTATACAAATTATAAATAAACTTTCAATCATGAATAAAGAATAAAAAAAAATATAGAAAATTTAATACTATTATAAAACGTCAATTAGCTTAGTAAAATCTGATATCATTGCGTTAGCATTTTCTTAAATAGAGATCAACAAAGTGTAGAATTTTTTTTATATATAGGATCAAAATATAAAATAGTACTATTGGGTATAAAAGCCTAAAAAAAAATCTTAATCTTACAATGAACCATTTAGAAAAAATATAAAACAAGATGAACAGGTGAAAAATGAAATGGCACCTTTCGACGTTGGAATCATTTAACGTTTTGGCTAAGTGGATGTAGACACACCCCAAAGTAGCTGCGAGCAAGACTGGGAAAGTGTACAATAGAATATCACCACCTGCAATAAGAAGATCATAGGGGTTTATATACATTAATTAGCATAAAATAAATAAAAGCAATGCATAAACTCTGAATTTCATAATCAAACAAAATCAACGAGACCTGCTGCACCAAAATAGGTTGAATTAGTCTTTGCCGTGTATGGAGGCATCCATGTTTGTGTAAAAGTATTTGTGGGCATCATTATCCAAATGAGAATCCAACCCAGAAACGATACCAACACAAATAGCCTTATTGCTAATTGAACCCTTTTCACCACCGTTTCTTGAGCCATGTTGTAACAAATTTGTATTCAGAAGAGAAAAGACTGCAGTACACCTACTTGTAGTTCAAGAAATGGATCATGATTGTGATTGCACAATTGTACTTATAAAAAATGATTATGCAAGGAACACCAGAAAGATAGAAACAAAGAAGTAGTACTCCTATATATTTATTTTTGCATCATATATAGTTTGTTGGCCCAAATTACGTGTCACATAGAGTTTACATGGTTGAAGGTCGACAAGTATTTCACTGTTGGGTGACTAATGCCCAGTAAAATTAAATGAAGGGAAGCAAAAAACAATAAAGGGTTGATTTCAGTGTTGTGTGGTCGATCTGGTCAATGCCCAAATCAATGAAAAATGAAAAGTAATTATTCTGTAATAAATAATAAGTGTTACATTCAATATTGAGAGCAAGCAAATTAAGGGAGATAAATTCTTTAAAATTGATGTCATTAATAGGAGTATTAGTATTTATAAATAAAACATTTAATAATAAAACCCGTAAAGTCTTCACTCTTCTACGGACGCCCTCATGCACGAGCCAGCATACAAACTATATACACTTTACTATGATATATTTTACAGACTATTTATTTTTTATCTGCATATTCACACAATTTTTTAAAATTGATAATTAAAAATTATTTTATGCGAAACTTAATTTCTGTGGATCAAACATTATTTTACAGACTATTTGCCATTAAATTCATTAACTAATATCTCTGTTAACATTCTGAATATATATATATGATGCACGGGTAAGCGATAAAGGCTGAGCATTGTTATGATACCATGCATACATAATATTGTAATATATGTTAAAATATTTATCTTTTAATATATTTTATTTTATATTAATTTCAATTTTTGAAGCACATTAAATGAAAACTTTATTAATTAAGAAGATGGGTATAAATGCTTAATAAATTGAACTTAAAATTGAATCGTTAAATAATGTTCGAGTTAATCTTAAAATATGGATGCAAAATAAACAAAATGAAAATTTTACTATAAAATTTTATTACTATTTGATAAAAGAAATGTAAAAATTTCTTATTAAAAAAAAAAAAGGTCAGTTGGTTCTTAGAAGTTGATTAGGATCAAAGTAAATTTCAAGACAACTTAAATTTAAATATTGATATAAAATTTGCTTAGATATAAATTTAAAAATATTTTAGTTTAAAAGTTTTTTTTTACTAAAAATAACTCTTTATTTTTATAATAAAAAAACTCACAAAATAAATTTTATAACTTTTATAATATTCTTTAATAATACTTTCTTTTAATCAGTTCACATCTCTAAAAAATCATTAGCTAAATGTAAGCTGTAAGAATATGTTTGGATGGAGAATTTAAATGGAATAATTCATTTGTTTAAAAATTTTTAAATTCTTGGGGGTGAAATATTTTGTTTGGATGGAAAATTTATAGAGAATTTGAAATCTAAGCATTTGTGAAATTTTTTGAAATAGTTCTCTCAAAAAAGTAAGAATTTAAAATTTTTCATTTTTTTCCTTATTTCACTTATATATTTTATCTTATCTCTTCATAATTTTAATTATTGAATATTTAAAAATAATTTTAAAATTATTAAATATTATCTAACATTAATTTTAACATTATTAAAATTTTAAAAATTGGCTAATATTTATTTTTATAAAATTTTATTTAAAAACATCAACATACAAATATATTTTTAAAATCAATTCTACCATGGTAGAATCAAATTATCATATCCAAATTAACAATTTAAAATTTAAAAAAATTGAAATGACTTATCCAAACAAAATATTTTAAGAATGATAGAAATTGAAATCAATCCCTTCAAAAAAATTTGAAATCAAAATAATTCAAATATCAAGAATTTCAAATTCCTTGAATTTATAAAATTCATCATCCAAACAGAACTTATTTATTAATAGTTAAAATAATAGTATAGATATCAATTAAGAGTTTTAATATGTAATTCCTATATATAAAAATAATTATAAATTTTTATTATACAATAACATAATGTGTCTTTTTAATTTTAATTTTTTGTATTTATAGTATATATTAATTAATTTTTTATAATTTTTATAATATTCTTTAATAATACTTTCTTTTAATGAGTTCAACTCTAAAAAATCATTAGCTAAATGTGAGTTGTAAAGCATATCTTTTATTTATTAAAAGTTAAAATACTAGCATAGATATCAATTATGAGTTTTAATATGTAATTCTATATATATAAATAATTATAGTTTTTTTATTATACAATAACATAATGTTTCTTTTTAATATTAATTTAATGCATTTATAGTATATATTAATTAATTTTTTATATTAGTGAAATTGTTTGTTTATACAGTGTATTATATAAGAACTTTATAGGTATTGACATATTACTTTCATGTTAATAATTTAAATATTTATATTTAATATAAAAATTTAATGATAATGTACTGTGGGTATAAAAAAATTATACTATCAATTATAAAAATTAATGATTAGTAAGTCTTTAAATAATTATTATAAAGTCAATAAATTTATTATATATAATATTTTATATTTTGATGATAGTGTAAAATTATTTTACATTTTAATAATTTTTTTCTTAAAATAATACTATACAAATGAAGTAGGAAAATATAGATTTATTCTTTAAAAAATTAGGAAAAAAAACACGCATTTTAAAACGAGTTTTATCAATGTCAAATTTTTCTATCTCAAGTGTGATTAATTGTTATGAGGTTTTTTTTAGTTTCATTAGAAATTTTAAATTCGAGTCTTAATACGCAGTTTTATTAAATACTAAAAAAATCTATACTTGTAATTTAAAAAAAATCATTTTTTTCTCATCGAACAAAATCCATTTTAACGGTAATAAAACAGGCATTAAATGAATAGTTATATATATTACTTATAATTATATTTGAAATTAAAGTCCTCTTTTAAAACATGAATTTATTTTTTATTATATTTATTACTTTTCTAATAAAACGTGATTTTATCATTATTTAGTATAGGAAGTACTTTAAAAACGGGTAATTTGTATTTTTCTTTAATAAAGTAATATAATAAGTATTATTCAAAAGAGAATGAGACGTTTGGGCCGAAAAATAATGTTTATAACTTGTGCAATGGTTTGCTTGTTGCAATACTACCCTTGAGTCTCACGTTCAAGACATGACATGTCCTCATCCAAATCAAAATATAAAATTTATATCTATTATAAAAGGATATAATTTAATAATTATTTTTTTTCACTATTTTTTAATGGATTTTTATATTTTTTGAATTAAAAAATAAAAATCTTCTTATATTATTTATAATTTCTAATATTTATATGTGTATGATTATTAGAGGCATGAATATTTTACCCCCTCTAATTATTAATAAAAGGAATAAATTTTTAAATAACCATATTTGTCTCCATTTTTCTTTTTTATTTTTTTGTTCATTCGTTTATGCAATAATTCTTTATAGATAAAGGATAATATATATATATAAAAGAATACGTTTTTTAATAATCACCTTTGTCTCTATATTTTGTTAATTATTATACTATTATTTTTTTTTTGAAGCATTATACCATTATGTTTTAAAAAGTTAGAAAAATAATACTTTTAATCATATTTAGTTAAACTAATATACTTTTATTATTTGAATTTTATTTTTATTTTATATTTAATAAAGACACAAAGTATTTCGACCGACTAGTATATAAAAATGGTAGTAATTTATAGATACCTAATATTTTAGCATGTAAAATACACAAATATATTTATTATGTATAATTAAATTTTATAATAAATTATATAAATAAATATTATGTCTGAATGAATAAATTATATTTAAAATTAATATATATATATATAATAATTTTTAAATATTAACATTTACTTCATAAATAATTATGATAAATAATAATTAAATTAAATAAGAAGTTAAAAAAATTGTTACAAATTTCAAATTATTTTATTTATTGATAATTTATTTTAAAATATCAATATTTAATTTATAAATAATTATGATAAATATAAACTGAATTAGATAAGAAGTTAAAAAATTTCTTACAAATTCTTTTATTGAAAAAAATAACTCTTAAAAATATTCTCGCGTAAAATAAAAGTTAGGGTTTAATATATAAGGAGTTGATTATAATAATAAAATAATCAAAATAAATTTGTACACAAAATAGATATCCTTTATTATTAAAATAGATTTTGTATAGAATCTTTATTCTTTCCTTTTACGATAAGACATTAAATCCTTAAATTTTAGTTTTAATCATTTTAACAATTTTTCTTTTATTCTTTTTGACTAAAACTCTTTCTACATGTTCTCATAAATCCATTATTTTCTCTTCTGATAGTAAATTTTGATCATTACTAACAAATCATTGGGTTGGATGATATTAAATTTATTGGTCCTTGTAAGAAATTTTTTTAGTTTAAGTCTTCTAAATAGAAAAACACATAATTGAAAAGAAAAGAAGACATACTAAAAATGGTGCATTAGATTGAGATTTTATAAAATAATTTTATCATTAAAAAAAAGTCTTGTAAATTTTAAAAGACAATATAAGAATGTAATGACTTTTAAGATTTTTATAAAAAATATTTTTAAAATAAATAAAATAAAATTCAAATTTATCTAGACAAAAAAATGTAATATAATTTTTTATTTAATTTAATTTTACTATTTTTGAAATTTCAATTTGGTCCCATCATTTTAAAAATATTCAATTTGATCATCAAATTTTTTAAATAAAAATTTTGATAAGCAAAATAGAATTAACAAGAATACAAAGGGTACTCTAACATATATATATATATATAGTATTTTATAAAATAAATTAAAAAAGTTAATTCAATTCACGTCAATCAAAAAGCTCACAAAAAGAGTGACTTAATTAACCTATATCCAACAAGTTTCTCATATCCCAGAAAACTAACAGCCAATGTGCAATATTAAGAAAGAAAGACACCAGGAGAATTAGACCAAGAAAAGAAATCATAATTGAAAGAAGGTAATCTGGCCCTTAACCATCTCCATGAGTGTAATATTGCACCAGATTTAGCATTTCAAAAACAGGAATTATTTTAGAGCTGTATATGAAATTATTTCTTGCCAGCCAGATGGTCCAAATAAAAGATAACTAGATAATAATCCAACAATTATGATACTTTGCAGAACAATAACGAAGCCCATAAAACTGTTCAAAGTTTTGCACACAACAATTATGCATAACATAATTTAGTCCTAACTAATTGAAGCACGCCATCCAGAGCTGAAAAAAAATCTCACACTAAAAAAAAAGTGAGAAGTTGTTTCTCCCTTATTCTTACACAAATCACATTCCAACTGTGATGCTTGCAGAACACTTCTTCTAAACAAATTATCTTTAGTTGATATTCTATTCAAAATAACCCTCCAAGCAAAAGCTGAAACTTTTGTTAGAACAATGCTAGTCCATATCCATCGAAATATGACATTAGATGGAAATATTATGTGATTCCTCAAGACCTTATAAGTCAAGCTAAACTGTATACAACCCTTCTGGTACATCAAATTTTAAAATAATATTCAATATTATCTTCTTATCTAATTTTTGTAATATCTTTAATATTTTTAATTTGAATAAAAAGGTAACATTAAATATATTTTAAAAATTAAATGATTAAATTAAATATTTTAAAAATAGTAAGATTAAGTGAAATATTAAAAATAAATAGTGAAATTAAAAATATAATTTAACCTATTAAATTTGTTAATATATAGTTACGATGAGAAACAGGTTATATACATGTGAACATGGAGATTATAATTTAAATAGTTTTTTGAATCCCTAGAGAAACCTGGCGGTATCGGTGGTCTAAAAATTCTGTCATACAGTTTTTGGCCCACATGCTTGTGGCAATTGTTTTAAGCGCAAAAAAAAAGGCATTTGTGGTGCTTGTGACCTGTTTTCTATTTTATACAAAATTCATTGCTTTTGGACCCTCCTACCAATTCGATAAGATGATATTAATGAGGATTAAGGATTATTTACTCTAATATAAGTGTTTGGCTAATATAATTAGATATATAATTTTTTTAACTTTTAGATATTGTCTAAAATTGTTTATACACATCTTATGTTTGACAACTCAATGATTATATTTTATAATATTTTATACGGTGACATTGTACTAACTCTTTCTTGGTTAGAATTTTTTATATGTGAGAAATTTTTGTTTGTAGCTTTCTCTAAGATGTTTAGCTATGTTTGGGATAAATGATTATTTATTCTCACTGTTTCAGATAGGTTAAGATTTTCTCATCAAGAACTTATTGATTTTCGGCCATACATTAAGGATGCATCCACAACTACATGACAAGGATCCAAATAGTGCTCATATAGTTCAAACAGAGTATTCCCATACGTCGAGGAGTACTCGACCTCTTGAACACATTCCTTTATTAATGTTTGATCATTACATGACACTAAAAAATCTTGAATGCATTTAAATAACCAAATTTTTAACAGTAACATTTTCTCATATATATATATATATATATATATATATATATAT